TTGCCAAACTAATTGCCGATGTGGCTCCCAGTGCCATCCGAGAGAATGACATCAAGAGCTACTTCGGTCGCAAGGTGGCCATTGATGCCTCCATGAGCATCTACCAGTTCCTGATTGCTGTTCGCCAGGGTGGGGATGTGCTGCAGAATGAGGAGGGGGAGACCACCAGCCACCTGATGGGCATGTTCTACCGCACCATCCGCATGATGGAGAATGGCATCAAGCCTGTGTATGTCTTTGACGGCAAGCCACCACAGCTGAAGTCAGGCGAGCTGGCCAAACGCAGTGAGAGGCGAGCTGAAGCTGAAAAGCAGCTGCAGCAGGCTCAGGAGGCCGGGGTAGAGGAGGAGGTGGAGAAGTTCACAAAGCTGCTTCTGAAAAGTGAGAGGCGAGCTGAAGCTGAAAAGCAGCTGCAGCAGGCTCAGGAGGCGGGGGTAGAGGAGGAGGTGGAGAAGTTCACAAAGCGGCTGGTGAAGGTCACCAAGCAACACAATGATGAGTGCAAACACCTGCTGAGTCTCATGGGCATCCCGTACCTTGACGCACCCAGTGAGGCAGAGGCCAGCTGCGCTGCCCTGGTGAAGGCTGGCAAAGTTTATGCCGCAGCCACCGAGGACATGGACTGCCTCACTTTTGGCAGCCCTGTACTAATGCGACATCTGACTGCCAGTGAGGCCAAGAAGCTGCCCATCCAAGAGTTCCACCTGAGCCGCGTCCTGCAGGAGCTGGGTCTGAACCAGGAGCAGTTTGTAGATCTCTGCATCCTGCTGGGTAGTGACTACTGTGAGAGTATCCGGGGCATCGGGCCCAAGCGGGCTGTGGACCTCATCCAGAAGCATAAGAGCATCGAGGAGATCGTGCGGCGGCTGGATCCCAACAAGTACCCTGTTCCAGAAAACTGGCTCCACAAGGAAGCTCAGCAGCTCTTCCTGGAGCCTGAGGTGCTGGACCCAGAGTCTGTGGAGCTGAAGTGGAGCGAGCCAAATGAAGAAGAGTTGGTCAAATTCATGTGTGGTGAAAAGCAGTTTTCTGAGGAGAGAATTCGTAGTGGGGTCAAGCGGCTGAGTAAGAGCCGCCAGGGCAGCACCCAGGGCCGCCTAGATGATTTCTTCAAAGTGACTGGCTCACTCTCCTCGGCTAAGCGTAAGGAGCCAGAACCCAAGGGGCCTGCTAAGAAGAAAGCAAAGACTGGGGGAGCTGGGAAGTTCAAAAGGGGGAAATAAAACGTGTCCTCCCCCTCCATTGTCCCCTGACCCCAGAATGTTTGCTTTGTGCCCTCAGCTAGAACACTCCTCTTGTGGAAGAGCCTGCTCCGTCCCAGAACTGCCCTTCAGAGCCTTGCCTTTCATACTTGGTCTTGTGGCAGGAAGGCCACAGCTTTGCTTTTCCTCATTTTTAGCTCAGGAATGATGTCAAACCACTTCTCAGGCAGGTTAATGGACACTGCATCCATTGTTGTGTGAAACTGAAAGCAACACATTATAAAAGGAGGAGGAGATAAAGATGGCTTGGGGTGGGAGTGTGGGGAGATAATTTCCTGGCTGGTCAGCTGGTGAATGGGAGTTGACAGTAGACCTTGACTGCTCTTTCTGATTTCTCTAACCTGAAAGACAGCCATCAGCCCAGGCTTTGCTGATGGAAGACCTGCAAAGAAAAGGGGCGAGCAGAGGAGGTTGGCTGACAATGGCTCTAATTCCTGACTGGCTGTCTTGTGGACACAGCAAGTTTAGGTTTCTGGTGAGTCTACAGTAACTTCAGAGCAGTGAAAAAGCAGTGTTTTAGGTTTTGAATTGTAGTTTTGTTTTTGTCCCATTCCCCTCTCCAGTGCTGGGAATTGAACCCAGGGCAAAGCAAGCAAGCATACCACTGACCTGTAGCCCCAAGAGACACTGTTCCAATGGCCTTTCTGAGGCAATCAATTGAATTGAGGTTTTGAGAGAAGCTGTTGTTCCTGTGCTGTTTCTGTTTTAAAAGATGCGAAGAGAAAAAAAAATCAATAAAAGTACAAAAGTGACCAGAATGTGGTGTTCTTTGAGGATATTTGAAAACACCCTTAGTGCTTCCGGTTCCTGTAGAATATAATGATCTTTTGCCACTAAAATTAGATGACAGGCTGGGATTGCCCTGGTTAACAAGTAGTTTGTTTAATAAGAGTGACCACAAAGTGGCGCCATACACCATGTAATGTGGGCACAGCAGCTGTGGTTGGCACCAGCCCTTTGCACTTCAGGAGTTTGAATGCCTAGACTGGATTTCTCTTGTTCCACCTAGTCTGTGAGGTAAAGGAGTCCATTTGGACAGTCTTGTAATTTAGATAAACTTTGTCATAACATCCAGGCAGTTTGTTTTGCCACTTGGTGAACAGATGCCATTTAGAAACCTTGCTCCTATTGAGATTTCAGGTTCTCAGGATGACTGCAAGTTTTAGAGTACTGGTGCATTAGGTTTCTCTTGAGGAACCAAGTAGATAGAATGAGTTCTATATATTGAAAGGGGTTCATTAGAGGAGCTTACAGGCTGTGTCCAGTTAGTCTAACAATGGGTGTCTGGTAAAAAGGCCAAGAATTTAGTAGTTGAGTCCACAAGGGATGTTTCAGCTGGTCTTCAGTCTACATGAAGGCTCACAAAGAAGCAGGTTCTAATACTAGAGAAGGAATGCCTCAGGGACACTGAGGGTGTACAGGCAAAAAACAGAAGCTTCCCTCCACATCCTTTTGTGTGGGCTGTCACTGGATTGTGTTGGGCTTCCTCAAATCCTCCACACAGGTGAGCCCAGCTGCTTGGGTTTTAGTTGATTCCAAATGTGGTCAAGTTGACAACCAAGGTCAGCTATCACAACTGGTAAAGCTTTAGTGGGGAGCTAGCCTGTAGTTCTGATCTTACAGTTCTGAAACAGCATACAACTTTCCATTGGAAATGTCTTAACAGATTGAGAAGATGGATACTATCGGTTTTCAAGTCCTTAAAATTTATCGTATGATGGGGGCAGGTGTGTGTAGCGGCACGTGTGGAAGTCAAGGACAGATTTCAGGGTTCTTCTCCACTGCACGTTATGAAGATTGAACTCATGTTGTCAGGGCTTTTATCTGCCTTCTTTGCACAGTGGTTTTCAATCTCCTCCCTAGCCCTGCCCCACCCCCACACTACAACACACACACACACACACACACACACACACACACACACACTGGGTCTCACTATGTAGCCCTGGCTGGCCTGGAGCTCCAGTAGACCAGGTAAGCCTTGAGTTTATATTATTCTCTAACTGAAGCCTTGGGTGAATGTAGACACTATAAATTATATCCTGAGGGCAGAGTGGAATGACTGCCAGATTAAAGCGAGCTGTACTTATTTGAGTCCTTTTTTTCTGATTCCATAATTTGATTATAGATCTGCAGTGGCAGTGAGCTAAGTAAGTGCCCAGACTGTATTTACTGTTCAGCACAGTGGCTTTTAGGGGCTTGCACCCAGTGGTGGGCAAGCAAGCCTCTAAATAGTTCTGGCTCCTTTTAAGTTTGATCTGCTTACCCTTCTCTAAGTTATCTGGGTTGAGCTTGCACCTGTGAATGCCCTGATGATTGCACTCAGGAGAACTGTTTAAGCACAATGAAGAGTTAAGAGGCATTGCTCTGCAGTCTGAGGCAGCATTGGCAAAGAGACAGGCAAACAGGACTTCTAGGCATAACCATTTCGAAATTAGAAATAGGCTTAAAGAGAGAAAATGATGCAAAATGGAAAGTTGAAGGACCAGAGGGTGAGACATTGAATGGTGACATCCATGAGATCTGACAAGAGTACCTCAGCAGAACAGTGTCTCCATAGATGTATCATGGGAGGAGCCTGGCTTTGTCAGATCATCCTTGCATGGCCAGTCACAGTCCTGCCCAGGTTATACAAGGTAACTGGCAGTGATGTGTCTTCTAAAGGGAGCAGTTAGAAGTAAGGTCTTTTACTTACTTATGGGAAGTCACCAGTTTGCCTAACGGTTGGCCAGCAAGCTCCAAGGATACACCTTCCCTATGCTGGGTTATAGACCTTCACATGGCTTTTACATGGGCCCTGGGAATCTGAACTCGGGTCCTCATGGGAGCACAGGAAATGCTTTACCGGCTGAGACAGCTCCCCTGCCCTGCACCAGGGAATCTGGTAGACAGGTTCGGACAAGCAGCGTGGATTTTAAATGAATAATGACATTCTTTGGTCCAAATTAATGTTTATTTTTAGTCTCATCAGGATGTGGTAACAGCACTGACACATGGATACTGACATTAGGCCCAATTAAAGGGAACAACACCGTTGGCCAGGAAGTAGGAAGATGAATGTAATAAAGATGAACATGGAAGCTGGAGTTAACAAGCTTTCGTTCCAATGTTCTGCCACTGTCTACATGAGCAGAGGTGACCCGTTTCCTGACTTTATTTTCTTGTCAGTGGAGTTGAGATTACAAGCTTTCGTTCCAATGTTCTGCCACTGTCTACATGAGCAGAGGTGACTTTTCTGACTTTATTTTCTTGTCAGTGGAGTTGAGATACCTCACTTTATCACTGTCACATTCTCAGTCTTGTCACTCAACGTCCCCTGCGGCTGTGCCAAGGCCACAGTGGAGGCTGAGGAGGGAAGGCCACAGTGGTTCAGGTGCTCTGAAGACCTGGTCTTGGCACAACTGAGCTCGCTGGTATTTGCTCAGACCGGCCGTGCCACACCCTTACCCCAGGTGGCAGGGAGCAGGCATGGGGAGGGACAGCACCTGTTCTGGAAGGAAGGAGTCAAATAAAGGTAGCATTCTTCCATTCTGATTACCCAGCCTGCTTCAAACAGGGCCAATGAGACCTGAGCTCTTCTGCAACCTGCCCTTCCTGGGCATTGTCCTGGGAAACTTAAGGAACCCTGTACCAACACGCTCACCTTGACCACCTGCCATTTCTCCACAAACGTGTTGTGCTTTGCCTTCTGCTCGAGGTTCTCTAATTCCAGACGGACGGTCAGTATGCTTTGAGTAGACACATGGGTTTGTGGAAGGGGAGCATGAACGTGGATGTGCAGGGTTAGGCCTCTCGGGGCATGTTCCTATGTTCTCCGGAAGGGTGAGTTACATTGTTCTTACTTTCTACAAAGCCAGAAGATTACAAAACCCTATTTCATTGTTAGACTGACATGCTTTGTCAGAAGTTATCCTGAATTCCTATCTGACCTCCAGAAGAATAAAACACTTGGACAAGTTGCCAGGAGGTCAGATCGTACTGTTCAATACTGGAACACAGGGAACAGGGATGCGGCCCCTTAGGGCACTGACACTTTCATGATGGAAACCTCAGCCCCTTGTGCTGATGGCTGCTTTCTTGAACTTAAGAGACTGACATAAAAGGAAACTATGGGAGCCTTGGGGACTGATTAAAAGAGGTGAATGAACAGATTTTTAAAGGCCATCCATTTTGCCCAAAGCTAGGATCTCATGTTCTCTCTGGAACCTGGATGGAACAGGAAGCCAGAGTTACTCATGCCAGGATCCTCCAGGGCCAAATGCTTTTTCCAAACCATATTCCTGGCTTTGCCCTGCCTGCTTCTCCCAGCAGCTGGAGACAGACATGGTTACAACCAGCTCTTGGCAGCAAGCTAAGCTCCTGAGCAGGGAGCTGTGCCAGGCTTCAGGATTCTATGCATGAATGCCCCCTTTCTGAGTCTTGTTGAAAGGGGTCACACTGGCCCACAGAGATGAACAGGGAGGGTAGAGTCAGAAACATAGCCCAGTGAGATGGGTTTACACTTTACAAGAGGGGAATTCTAGGGCAGGGTCCCTGCTTCATGCTGGGCTCTGTAGATCCCCCCCCCATTTGCCTCTGCTAAAGTAGAAGAAACAACAGAACAGCTTTGTAACCCTAACCCCAACAGTTCTTCCTTCCCTCAAGTTTGGCACCAAGAAGGCAAAGGGGGCAGGTATGAGCACACACATCTATGTCCCCTAACCCTTTGAACATTGATTCATAGTGGCATTGTCCCTCAAGCTCCCTCTGCTTTGGCTCCAGTTGTCCTCTTCCTCCCCCAGATGGAGGACTGCTGCTGCTATTGGTGAAGATAGGCGTCCAACCAGAGCTGCCCCGACTCCTTCAGTGAGCTGTAGGGACCACAAGAGCAGACAGGGAGGGAGGTGGGGGCTGAGTTGTCCACCTGCAGACATGTCCCCTTCCCCTCAGACGTCTTACACCCTGCTCAGAGGAAGCTGGCCTGGCCACAGACCGATACCACTCTGCTGTTGCCATGGTGATGCATGCCCCTGCGGATGACGAACCCACCCCACACCGGGCCACATGCACACCACCCTGCTGCCAGCTCCCCGGGCTCATACTCACTAAACAATGTCGGCGAAGGCTGAGAGCAGGGGCTTGGACTTGTACTTGATGCCGTACTTGGCGCACAGGGATTGCACCAGGGGTGCCACTTTGTGGTAGTTGTGTCGGGGCATCGTGGGGAAAAGGCTTCAGGGACGGCAGGGTAGTTAGTGGCTTCTGCTCCTCTGCCCCTCCCCAACCCACTGCTTCCCGGGTCTCCCTACTCACTGGTGCTCGATCTGGAAATTGAGGTGGCCGCTGAACCAGTCATTGAAGGCTGATTGGTGAACGTTACAGGTTGCCTGCAGCTGGGGGGAGGGGGGGAGGCGAC